AGGGAGACGATGGTGTGCTTTAGAGCTCTAGTAGTTCCGCATTTAAAATTTCATATGTTTTGTATATTAAATATGGTATTATTTATTATGCCAACAACTTATTTAAAAATATCAACAATGGCAAGTAAAGTTTTTGGGACATTAACATAAGCATAAAAATTAACATTCATAAGAAGATTGAGCCTAGGTTTGGAATCAGATCGTTTAACAGTATGTAGGGTTGTGCATTATTTGGTCAAAACTAAAAGATAGAACCTAACTAAACTGGACAAGTTCGGTTGGTTTGGTTTGTGATGCGTGTAAGAGAATTCGCGGTGGTAAAAGTGATTAATTAATTTCTTAGCATTGCTCTAGAACCCAACACACACTCATGTAATAGCAATGATGGACAAAAACACTAGAAGATTTTTATGTGGAAAACTCGGAAAGGGCAAAAATCACTGGGCCTTGCCCAATTCAAGAAATTCACTATAATCTGGTGATTATAGGTATGATCCCTTGTCTCACATGAGAGAAAGGGTTACAAAGCTTCTCAAGTTACAAAGTTGCCGCATGAAAGTACTTATGACATTGCGGTAGGGAGCGATTGTAAGGAGGAGCAATAGTCGGGGCTTCAATGTACCGTCTTCGGGGTCTGTATGACGTTCAAAATGATGTGTTCTTCGTAGTTTACTTCTTACGGTGCTTTGTCACAAAGAATGGGTGATGAGTAATGGTAATCGAAGGCGGTCGACGAGGGGTGGTTGTTGGTGGCTGGTGGCGGTTGACGACTGTCAGAGAAGGAGGCATTTGTCGGATCGTTGGTGTAGAAGTGATGCTCGACTTCAGTTTCTTCTCAGTGTTTCAGGCTTCTTCAGATTTCAAGCTCTCAGTTCTCTTCTCATGAGGAGGGTAGAATCTTATTTATAGAGTCCATGTTGCAAAAATGAAAGGAATTCAAATTACTCTTAATCGAACTGCCCAAAGAGATCCCCTTGATCGTACGATATTCGATGGTCATTTAAGTCCTTAATGTGTCGGAATTGAGCAATCTTGGACTCGTTGGATTCATCTTGTCGATAGATTCGATAAACTGTGCTTGCTACGTTCAGAATTCATTTAATCTTGCAACTATGCATGAAAAGGTTTCAAATGTGGTTTAACAATTTTTTTTGGGATTGATTTGACTTGGATCAGACCAATTTGGTGTCGTTGGGCCTGTCTCGTTGAGACGGTCAATTTGACTATAAACTTGCTGAAATAAGAGTTTTGTATGACTTCTAGTTGAAGTTTGAATATTCCTTGCTTAAAACTTGCCTCGAGATCCATGTCGGATGATGAAAATTTGTTGGAGGCGTGTCAGTTTTGTTCGATTTAAAAAATGCATTTTAGTTTTTGGGTTTTAAAACCTCAATATTTGCTTTTCATGTTTATTATAGATTTAACTGAACAATCAGAAAAACTGAAAATTTGAAATTAAATGGAGGATTTATGAAATTAAATCGACATTATACTTGTAAGACATATAATTGTTGATGTTTTTCGTAACGGAACTTCAACTATTAAATAGCGGGCCATTTAAACTGAATAAAATTTCAGTTATGTTGGTTTGGTTTTATCAAAATATTGATTGGCTCAGTTTTTCAGATTTCAAATTTAGGTTGCAATTGGTTTGAGTAATTTGAAAACAGATTCATCCAAATCGGCCAAATGCTGACCTCGAACAGTGTGCATGGGTAGGCCGATGAATGTGCTTTGCATTACTTTTAGAAAATAAATATTGAAAGGGAAGAAATGGTTTTTGCTGCTTTACTTTGCAAGACTCACTTTTGTTTAACTCGTAAAAAAGTAAAATTTTCCCTGCATATGTTGTGAAAATGTTAGAAGGATGAAGATGCAGCTTGGTTTTGTATTCTCCTTTCTTTTTTACTGAACTAAGCAACATGACTGTAAATTTTCACAGCATTACTCCTGGTATTGGCTGGGAAGGGTCTTTTTCAGAACTTATTTGTAAATAATATCCTTGGCATTGATCTCAATGAAGCAAGGGGAAATGGAGAGGGAATCATGCAACAAAGTCCTCTCATTTCCTTGTTTGCCGATGCAATCAAAGGCTGTTTGCTTTCTTCAGATGAAGATATACAAATCAACACATTGAACTTGATTATTCACATTATATCACCAGAAAACTGTTCAATTACAGAACTACGAGTTCTTGTGGAGGAAAATATTCCTGATTATATATTTGAAATACTCAGACTGTCAGGTAACAATACCTGCATGAAAGGTATGATTAAAGTATCTAATATGTGCTTTCTTATCATATTCTATTTGATTTATGTAGGGAATAAGGATCCTGTGGTTATTGCCTCCCTACAGTGTCTAGCTCTCTTTGCTGCTGCAGAAGAACTCATGAAACAAAAACTTGTAGTTGGATTCTCTTCATTGCTTTCTGCTTTGCATTATACATCACAGATACCTCTGCATCCTGTTCAACCTCATGCATTAAAGCTTGTTGGGAACTGCATCTCAAATTCCCCTGGTATAATATCCATATCACAAGTTTCAGAATTAGCTTCGATTTTGACATGTATACTAAGGAGGTCCATTAATGGAGAGACTCCTGAGACCTTCATCTTGGCATGTTCGGCATTTGTGGAAATTCTCAAGTCACCATCTTCCCATGGAATCCAAAAGATTGGAGCTCTGATCAAAGAAGCATCAAGTTGTGCAGTTTTATGTTCTCTTTCTTTCCCTCAAGGAAATCCCGCTGAACTTATAATCCATTCACTTTCTCTTCTGAAAGAAGCCCATTTATACAGTCTAAGGGAAGATGGCAATGGAAACTCTGATAGAGAACTGGAAGAAAGCATAACGGTAACATGCCAAAATTATCTTTTTCCTTGGCTGGAAAGAGTTATTAATGAAGAAGTTGAGGAGGATGTGGTACAGGAAGTCCTTCAGACATTTCATTTCATATTGCTCAGTGGTTCTGAGGCCCAGACCCAGAGTTTAGCAAACAAGCTAATATCTTCTTATTGGCTCACTTTATGCTTTACTTATTTGGGTCTATTTCCTACTGATCGGATGAGATCGAGCGTATATTTGATCATTGCTTCGCTACTTGAACGAGTATTCGGTCCAAATTTTGGGCAACCCGTGCAAGATGCTCTTTTATACCTCCCAGCAGATCCTCTTGATTTGATCTTTTTGTTGGGACAGAAAAGCAATATTGATCCTCAACTAGCTTTGTGTCAGCGTGCCACACTTTTGATTTTATATGTTAGCTCAATCTCAGGTGAAAGGTAATTTATTTGGAAGTTTTACATACATTCACTCAATTCCTATGTATTTACATATCACATTCACTCAATTCCTATGTATTTACATATCTAAAACAAAAACTTAAATTTTTACATATATGCATACCTTTGTATGAAAAAGGTGAATTTGACCATTAAAAAGTGCAATTAGTGTGGTTTTTTTATGTAATATGAAAGAATTGGGTTGCATGTATATAAATGCCCTAATTTATTTTCAACGCCTTACAATGTTGCACATTGGATTTAGCGTAATTACCTGATTTATAGTCACCATGTTTCTTCCATTTAGGTTTGCTGAAGACACTCAGGTTTTGGCTTCATTGGAGCAATTTATTCTTGTTAATGGCAACGATTTTGTTTGTGGGAGTGGTGATTCTTTAATGTTGGCTCGAGTAGTGCATCTCTATGGACTCATCCGAGGTTCCCCAAGGGACGAGAAGATGTCATACAGTCCAGAAGCCGAGAACACACTGCTTAATATAATAGTCGAAGATGATCTGGAATTATTCTCATTTGACATACATCCAATAGCATTAAAATGGCTTTTCCAGCAAGAAGGAATCATGAATTACTTATCTAACCAGATTTTGAAGTTTTGTAGGCTCTCTAAGGAAAATGAATCACTCCTGATTGTCTACTCATATGGAACCCAAACTATGAAAATGGAACTGATATCAGAATTGGTGGTTTCTGGAGATAATTATGTAGCGCCATTGCTGGTGTCACTTCTGAGAGAGCTGCAAGACGAAGGTGGTGAAGATGACCTGAAATGTGTAACGAATACAATGGAGGGAATACTGAAGAATTTTTCTGATGCTTCTAACCAGTTCTGCAGGCACAGCTTTGCTGGTGCAATATGTGGCATCTACTATTTGCCATACTGTTCTCTCCAACTCTTCTCAATGTGCTCCCTGCTGGTTTTTCATGTTCTTTGCGCTGCAAACCATGACGTGCTCTCTCATGAGGGAGAGTGGCTCGCGATTACAATGAAGGTACCGAAATTTCTCTCCCTTTAGTCTTAGAGTGTGTTCATCCTCTTCAACTTAATTTCTCTTTATGATAAAGGGTAAAATCGATGCATTTCACTGCATTTTTGGACACTAAGCAATTTTTAATCTCTTATTTAGAATGTAGGTGACTCAGAAACATGATTATAGTGAATTTCACTCGAAAAAGTTAAAATAGTGGTATTTTTCATGTGATATGACTGATTTGGTTGGTGAAAATGTAAAAAAATAAACTTTATGTAAATACATAGGAATAGGGTGCTATGTATATTGTTTGTAAGGCGAACCCTAGTCATCCTTCCTATTGTTTTAGGTTATTATTTTAATTCGCGATAAATTGATCTATTTCCTTTATTGACTTGTATGTCTTAGCCCTTCTTTATATAAAGGACCTTAGGGCTAGTGAGAGGAGAGAGCAAGTGTTGAGTTGTAACTTCAGGCCGTTTTCTCTTTCTCCCTATACCCTGCTAGAGGAAACTCCCTCGCCTTGGACGTAGGAGAATTAACTTAATGTAGAACCACATAAATCTTTTGTATTTGATTATTGTTGTGTGAATTTCTTTATTTCTGCATTGTTTCACATAACACTCGCATAAGTAGTGCTTTCTTGTAATTCTCTTACACAAATCACACTCAAGCAAGCAAAAATTTTCACCTAAATCATAAAAAGGGCAACAACTTGAAAGTATGCCCAAGTTGCAGCAATTAATGACGTTGTGATTGCCAGTATTTTGTTTTCATGTATATTTTGCTCTCTGTTGTTGAGAATAGTATATACCGGGTCTAAGCGCATACTCTGTAAATTTTAAGTTCATTGAATTGTGAATTAAGTATGAGAATTTTCAATCTAGATTCTTTGGCAGAATCTCAACGGTTAGGTTGGTGCGAATCATTGAAAGACCTTGAGCATCAACATGGTGGTTTCTGTGAACTTTCGGGCTGGATTTGAAATAAAAAATAAGAAAATAAAAAGGGGCATTTACATATATAACATAGAATTTTTATGTATTTATATATGTAACATCTAAACTTTCATATTTACACATAGAGCTCAAATCTTTAAGATAATATCAAAAATAGCATTATTATCATTTTTTAAAAACCAAATACACCTTTTCATGCGTAGGTTTAAAATATCAAAAACCTATGTATGTGAATAAGGAAGTGTAGTTGTGAGATATGTAAATACATAAGAAGTCTGTGCCGCGTGTGTAAAATTCCCAATAAAAAAAAAATCCCTTAAGACCTTTTTTATATACGGGTTGCTATGAAGATCATTTAGTAACACTAATGAGCAAAATAAAGGAAAATGAGACTCAAAGTTCATAGAGAACCATCATTAACCTCTAATGTGAATAATACCATCCTCATTTTAAAATTCTCATATTAAACTTTATTTTCTGCATGGAAAATATTATCATGTTAATTAATCCATGCAGTTGCTGGAATTCGTTAACCCTAAGCTTGCCTCTCATCTCTGGGGTCAAGAAGAGCTCCTGGTAATTAGCATTTTTTGTCTCATCCTTCACCATTCAAGGTACCAGGTGCTTGAAGAAACTTCAAAGGCCATACTGCTGAATGGTGCTTTGGCTTCCGCTGTCAAGAATATAGTCCAAACATCCATTGCAAAAGGTCCAGCTCTAGAAAATCATGACGAAGAAATGGAGACAGGGCAATGCTTACTTTTCATTCTATTACTGTATTTCTTTTATGTATTTACATATCTAACACCTAAATTTCAATTTTTACATTCATCTCGTGTATTTTTGATGTGATAGGGAAGATTTGGTTGGGAAAAATGTCAAAGGTAAAGCTTAGGTGCTAGTTATTTTGATACATCGGAATTGTGTGGTATGATGTAAACGCCTCTTTTAATATTCACATTTATACCATCTTAATCTTTCATATCACATAAAAAACATCAACATTTTAACATTTAAAAGGTAAAATACACCTTTTCATGCTTAGGTAAAGCGACATAAATGTAAAAATTGAAGTTTGAGACGAATATGTATGTAAATCTTCTTTTTCTTTAGCAGACCCCAGCTAATAACCTTCTCTTCAGCTTCTATGCTACTTCACAAAACTGTCTGGATTGGCAAAACTTGCTTCAATCTTGCAATAATTCTCATCCACCATTGTTACTCTCTATAAAATGTCATGATTTATGCCGGCTGATGCACTTCGGGTCTTCTCTGGTCAAATCTCTCTCATCACAGTGCCTGGTAGACATTATTAGCAGAATATCTGATCAGAGAGAAAAAAACCATGAAGAACTAAGATGCCCGATGAGATATCTTCAATCAATGATATCCATTATGGAAAGCCTAGTTTTCTATGAAGAGAAAGTCGTGGCCACAAACTGCAGTGTCTGTTTATCCATAATTCTAAGTTGGGGGAGCCTCAGAAACTGTAAATGGCTTAGGATGATAATGGAGGAGTTCACAATGACCTTAATGGCTTCCAGTATGGCTTCAAAATACTTCAAAAATCAGCACAAGCCTGCTTCACATATAGCAACGGCTTTGCTCAAGCTGGACCAAGCGCCTGAATGGATGAGATCTGTATTTGATATTTCTTGTATCACTGGAATAATCAACAATCTATGTGCACAAAACTTGAGCGCAGAGATGGTTAATCTGTTTAGGGTTCTTCTATCAAGGAAATATCTGAATGAAGATCATATTGGGTGCTTAAATAAAACATTTCAGGTAAAGATTTCTCTCTCTCTCTCTCTCTTGAATTTCAGGTAAAGATTTCTCTCTCTCTCTCTCTCTTGGTTTTCTGAAACTGACACCACAAAGGAAAAATAGGTTATCATGACCAAATTTTGGTTGTGACAGCCGTTAGATTTGTTTTGAGATGCGTGCAATATAGGGGAAATGAATCGAAAATTGTATTATACTCACATGAAAGTAAATCCAACGGCTTTAAAGGCTTGTCCTTATAAAAAATAAGACCAAGATATCTTGAGCCAACGTTTTTCACAATATGAGTTCTTTTAGGGTCTATTTGGGATAATTTTTTGTTGCTTTGTATATCAGATTGTCACCACAATTCTATTTGTAGAATTGTTTTATTATTATTTTCTAGAAATTTCTGTGATAAGAAGTTGTTTTCTCAACCCTACATGTTAAACTGTATTGATTGTAAGAAAGTTGCTCTCTGATATTTGGAAAAAATGTATAATGATAATTCTCATCATAGCTTTCAAGGAAGTTGTTTTCTTCACCACAATCTTACAATCATATTTTTAAAAAGCTGCAGTCACCCCAAACAGACCCTAAATGTCAAAGGAACTTCAACTAATTCCACAGTATTTTATAGGGCAATTTACTTAGATACCACTCAATTCATATATGTACATATGTAACTCCTAAACTTCACTTTTTTTTTATTTACACCACCCAAATCTTTCATATCACATAAAAAATAACACTATTTTAAGTGTTAGAAAGTAAAATAAACCTTTTCATGCATAGGTAAGAAAGCATTTACGTAGAAATTGATGTATTGGCGTCAGATAGGTAAATACAATGTATGTAAATCTTTCGTTATAATATTAATAATAATGACTAAGACAATGATTTGATGAATCTTATGACAACTTTTTCTATTTCTCATCAACTTTTTAGCAAAGGGTATTAATTCTCATGTATTTTCATATCTAA